GGATGAGGAGGCTAGAAATAGAGGGAGCAGAATGGATCATGAGAGGGATCAGGAGGAGGATGAACATCATGACAGGGACCAGGGGGGAGAATAGGATCATGAGATGGAGCGGGAGGAGGATGACCATGAGAGGGAGCAGGAAGAGGAAGAGGAGCAGGAGGACGACGAGAAGGATGACGAAGAGGATGCCCCCTCCCCCTCCAGTCCGCGGCGTGGGGGTACGGGGGGGCAAGCATACATATGAGCAGTTATCGGGACGATTGTAACATAACACTCGGAAACCGAGGAACGCCGCATCCCTACGTAGATCTCTATGCGGTTCAAATGCTTCTTCCCTCTTGAGAGAGGGGTGAGGTCCAGGCGCCCCTCCTTCAGCAGGACCTTGCCGCGAGTTTTAGGCGTGACCAGTCTGCTGCATGCCCAGGGTTCACGCGCCCGGGCATGGTGGACGCAGCTGGTGAGGAGGAGGTGCCTGCAGACCTTTCGCTGGGGGAGCCCGAGCCTGCCGCCCACCGCTTCCCTGCGCAGGTCGGCCGCTCGCATCGCTGCACAACGTTCGTCTCGGAGGTGCAGCCGCAGGGTGAGTACTTCATCCAGGTAGTAGGTGCCCACCCTCCCGACGAGGACGGCCAGCCCGCGCGGGCCGAGCAGATCTCCCGCAGCGAAGGCTGTAGGACCTGGTAGGTGGGTCATCCCGGGGAGCGCGAGGGGGGCAGGGCGGCCTCTCTATCATTGTTGCGCGGAGGAGATGTGCCTTGCCACGCTGCGCGCCTCCCGCGGGACGCTCATCGCCGTCTCGATGCTCGAGGAGGTCGACGCTGCGGAGGCGTCGGAGTTCTATCTAGAGTGCCACGCGGTGGACCCTTTGGCCCGCTGGTCCCAGGAGCTCGGGCCCGAGCCTGCAGGAGAGGCGGCAGCTCGCAGGCCATCGGAGGTCGAGCTGGACGGGTTCGGCATGCCGCTCGACGGCGGCGCGGTTCGGGACACGGCTGCCCTGACCTCAGGCCCGCGCCCCGTGGTGGCGCCAGCGCGCGGCGGCGGCCGCCAGCCCGCTGCCCTGCAGGCCTCGCCGCTGGAGGAGGCAGGCGCCCGCCTGTCCGCCGTGGCGCCCCCTGCGCGCGAGACAGGGCCGACAAGGGGCGCGCGCCCGAGGTGTCAGCAGAAGCGGCGGCGAGTGCCGCGGGCGGCAGCGCTGGGACGAGGGTTGAAGGACCTCCTCTCGAACTGTTGCTTGAGGCGGCGGCCAACAGGGGCAGCCCTGGTGACGTACGGCAGTCAGTTCTCAGTGGCGCCAGCGCCAGTGGTGATGGGGCAGTCCCGCGAGGGCACGCCGTTCGTCGAGGTCACTTTCGCCAGATTGCCGCCGAGTTCCCTCTGCCTCTCCCTAAGCAGGCGCTAGCTAAGATGAGTGAGTATGTCACCACGCAGGATGGTGAGAAGGCGGGGGAGGATTCCCCGTCTATCTTCATGAAGTACTTTCTGAATGTCCCCGCCCCTCAGACCCCCATCAAGTCGATCGGGATGGAGGTCTACCGCGAGATGAGGACAGGCTGCGAGGCCGAGGATGCCATCCCCTCGGGCAAGACGGCCTACGCCATTGACGTGCTGGGTCCACGGTTCAAGGCACTTCAGCTTACCGCTATCGACAAGTGTTGGTCGTGTATTCGCTGGCTGGAGCTCATCGCGCCCATGAACGAGCAGCCTGCGTTCAGAACAGAGGATGAGGAGATCGTGCGCCCCGTCGAGCTGGGCGATTTGCGCCTAGAGGAGCTGCTGTGTGAGCTCAAGCAGGGCTGGGAGACAGGCCGGGAGATGGAGCCGCCGAGGAGCAACTCCCCTCCTGTAGGCCACACTGGCGGGAGCCGAGGCAAGGCGGCCCACCAGCTGCCATGGCCTCGGACGCCTGCGGGCCTCGTCGAGGACCCACCGCTACCAGCAGCACCAGCAGCAGCAGCCCGCCGCCCTACACCAGAGCCGCAGCGGACTGTGCAGCTACGCGAGGACTTTTCGAAGGGGGCGATGCCGAAGGAGGTATCCTGGATGATCGTCAAAGACGCCCACCCGAAGAAGCTGGGTGTGACGCGGGGAGCCTACGGCATGCGCCTCAGGGAGCTCATGCAGGAGGCTCGCGGGCGGCGGGTCTGACCCGCGAGGTAGGCCGCGTGGCAGCGCCGAACATCGACGCGCAGCCTCGCTGGACTGAACACTTGCCAGTCTGCACTGACTTGACCGCGTGGAGGGCGACTGTGTGTTGAGCTGTGCCCGCCACGCCGCACTTACTGGGCTTGGTCATCGCTGTCGTCACCTTACAGTGGCAGCACCCAGGCCGCCTTGGAGAGTTTCGCCGTGAGTTTCGTCCACACCTTCCCACGACTGGAGGGCCGCAGGTAAGGACGCGTGACCTGTTGCCGATGGCCCTCCACGACCTTACGCTCACACGAGCTGGGGTCGCATTTCAGGACGGATCGAGAAGGAAGCGTCAGAGGTTCAAAATGAGGGGCGTTTAGTCGCCAGAGGATTTTGGTCATACATAGTGGTGCTGTCTCTCGATTTCGATTACGTTGGTCGAGGTGACCCTCGCCTGCGGAGGCACTCGCCAGTGCTACATCCTGCCCAGCGGTCCGCCTACAAGACCGTCACCTCCCACGTCGACGGCTTCTTGGATGACCCACTGACTCGTCTAACTGACATCGACTGGTCCCAGAAGGTCAACAAGCTAGGGCGACTGCACTGGGGAGGAGCAGGTCGAGGCCGTGCCTATCAAGCTAGCGGGGCCTATACCAGGCCTTCCCGACAAGCAGCATGCTGCGCAGCTTCAGACGGGGGAGTCTGTTGACGGGCACATCCTGGAGTCGCTCATGGACCCTGAGGCTGCCCCGCTGCCTCAGGCGGACTGGCCGCTGCACCCTCCTCGCGCCCGGGTCAATTGCGCGAGGCTCGAGGACTTGTACGAGGTCGCAGAACACTTGGTTGGCCTCAGCATCTTGGGCGTGGTCGACGTGGCGGACATGCTTGCGCAGCGGGCCCAGAAGGTCTTCAACGGCCTAGTCGCTCGCGAGAAGAAGGCCAAGACACTCGAGGCCTTGTCGAGATGCACGCGCCAGATTTTCAACATGATACCCTCCAACGCCTACCTCTGCAACATTGTTGAGGATACGTCGACTTTGGCGGCCTCCACCACATGGACCAGCCTCCACTTGCCAGTAGGAGGCGTCATGGTGTGCAGCAGCGACGACCAGAAGGGCGCGTTTTATGTCTGGAAGCTGCCGCCAATCTGGTATAGCAGAATGGCCGTCTCGTTGCCCCGTGCCAGCGAGCTCTGCGGGGTTGTCAAGGGACCGCCTGGGCTACGTGGCGTTCCGCGTCATCCCCATGGGCTGGGTATTCGCAGTCGGCCTCTTCCAGCACCTGCATTGCCGCGTGGCCCTGCGAGCACCGCGTCTAGGGGCTGGCTTGCCTGCAGAGGCAGAGTGGACGCGCATTCAGCCCTGGCCGCTAGCGAGGCAGCATCCTCATGCGCTGGGCAGGTCTACATCGATGATCTTGGTGCGCCCGAGGTCCTTGCGGCGGCAGAGGCGCGCGGGCCGTGGGCACCCCAGGCGAGATGAGGCTCGCCATGCGGCGCGCCTGCGCCCAGGCAGAGGTCGCCTACGCGGAGGGGTGAAGCCATGCGCGGCAGCTTCAGCTCGAGAGAATGGGGGTGTCCATCGACGGCTGCGTGGGTGCGATCAGGGCCCCTGCTAATAAGGTGACTGAGCTGCTCCGCTACATCGTGTATGCCCTGGGCCGCGATTACTGCCCATGGCCGCTCATACCCACGCTGTTGGGCCGTGCCGCTCAGGCCCTGGAGTTCAAGCGGCCGCCCTTGAGCTGCCTCAACTTGGTCTGGGAGTTCTCCGTCAGGACGAGAGGTAAGCGCATCAACATGGGCATAAGCCAGGAGCTGCTCGTGTGCAGGGGGTACCTGTCCTTTGCGGGCACCGACCTCAGGGCCGCGCCGTCGCCAGTCGCCACCGCCTCGGATGCCTCGGGGGCTGGAGGTGGAGTGTGCGGCTCCGCTGGCCTCACGCCCGTGGCAGTGCAGCAGCCCAGGGCCGCCCGCCAGGGAGCTAGGCCGCGCTGGGGCCAGGCCGCGGCGACCTGCAGCCCGCACGCAGCTCCCCGTTGCTACCAGGTGGGCGGCCGCGGCCCAGGGTGCTCATCGTGTGCCTCCTCAACGGCCTCGCCGCGCTGAGTGTGGCAATGTCCAGGCTGCCAGTCGACATCATCGGCATCGGGCGCAGGAGGTTGACGAGCCTGCTAGACGAGTTGCGACTCAGATGGCCTGGAACCGCAGATTGGGGTGATATCCGATCGTCTCCGAGGCGGACGTCGTTAAGCTGGCTGACACCTACAACAGCCTGTGCGACGTCTGCGTCCGTGGAGCAGGCAGCCCTGGGCAGGACCTCAGCACAGTCAGTTTGCCGCGGGCAGGCCTGGGGGGGGCCCAGCTCGAGGCTCCTCTATGAGATCCTACGGGTCCACGGTCATCTTCGCAAGCACTACGAGGAGAAGCTAGCCACCTTTGCTGGGGAACGTTGCCTCTAGGAGTCTGCAAGTGAGAGATGCTACCACGAAGGAGCTTGGAGCACCGCCAGGCGAGCTATGCTCAGCTATATTTGTCCTGCCCGTCGACCGCCTTTACTACTGGTGCAGTTGGCCTGTACAGACTCGCGGGGAATCTGCAGTCGAGGAGCGGCGCCAGCCCAGAGGGTCACACTCAATCGTGGGCCGGGTCTGCAATCCCGTCGCCCCTCTCCCGCGGGTCGCCGCTGGCTGGACCGGGGGAGGCGGCGCTGCTCCAATGCCGATGCTGTGTGCCCGCGGCCAGCCTCAAGCATTGCTGGGATTCGACAGGCATTACACAAAGGTCGCCCACAAGACCCTGAGGCCCAAAGAGTTGCCGACACGAAAAGCTTTCTCTTGGGCCACTCTTACTCAGCGTATTCGGTCTTCTGGCTCCTCCAGCAGCTGTTCCTGGTTCGAGGACTCCTTGCTCGGGGGCTACCTGCTGAGGCTCTGTTCGCGGAGGGGTCGTGCCCGCAGGTCTGGGGTGAGATCGGCACCTACCCGAAGGGCACAGCTGAGTACGACAAGAAGCTGACCTCAGAATTCGCAGGCGAGTTCCTTGCACTAAGTGGTCGCAGTGGGAGCGACATTCGTCTAGCCGCGGGCCTGCTCTACCGACCCAAGGCGGGGCCGCGGGCGAGAATCGTGGTCTCACGGAGGTGGCAAGGTAGCATTGACCTCCACATTCACGCCCGCGAGCTGCAGGCGGGAGTAGCAGCCCTGCTTTGGAGGACTCGCTCCACAGAGCACCTCAGCGCCAGGGTTGTCCACCTGCTTGACTCGCAGGCTGGCAGCGATCACTACGAAGGAGCGGTCGGCCAGCACCAGGCTGCAATGGCTCCTGCGCCAGTGGGCCGCCCCCTGTGCGGCGGGAGGCCTCTACCCCATCGTCGAGTACATCAGGACCGCTGGACACCGACGGGGGCATCGCCGCGTACACAGAGATGCTCTGGGGCGAAGGCGAGCCCGTTAGCATTGCCAGCTCTGCTGTCGCTGCGGTGGTCCTCTTCTTTCCCCTCAATCAAACAGAGCTGGCCAGGGGTTGTCATGGAGTCTGCTCAAGGCTTGGAGCCACGTGAACCGCCTGTTCTCGCTCTGCCACTCACGCCAGAGCTCATCCTGGGAATAGCCGCCCTCGCCATCGAGTGCGACGCTGTGGACATCAGCACCCTTCTCGCATTAGGTTTCGCAGGTCTTTTCCCCCACAACAGAGGTGTTCACATTGTCCAAGCAGCAGGCTACAATCATCAATGACGGAGTCAGGGTCCGCTTGCCTGAGACCAAGACAGAACACCGCAAGGCCACCATTGAGATGGTCGTTGTCGGCTGCCCCATCGCAATGGATCTGGTCAAGCGCTGGTAGTGCACGCAGCGCCTTCTGACACGATCAGCGGACGATCGCCAGCACAGCTTCGCAGTTGCGGGGGAAAATGCTGCCGACTTTCTTTCACCTCGAGAATTTCCGCTTCTCTAGTATCTATGCCGTCGTGGTGGTGCCGCGTACGACTTCATGCCGCATCGGACTATGGAGACAACGATCATGAAAGGCGGATGAAGTTCACAATGACCGCAAATATTTACATTGTGCAAGCAGTTGCAGGCATAGTCCAAGTCACTCCTGCTCCCAATGACCACAGGTTGATCCAGCACTTTGCGTGTGGTCTTATCAGTTGAAAGTTGCAGGAAAAAGTCAGAACAGATGTGATACGCTATGCAAGAGATCTTGAGACACGACACGTGAGTCCTCCCGTGCCAATTTTGTGAGTCCGTGGAATACCCCCACGCTGTGTAGAGGCTAGCCGCCTGTCCGCTCCGATCTAGCCCTCCTCAGGCCTCGGCGTTCCCTCGGGGTTCCCTGGGTCGTGCTTCCTGGACTGGAGTCTGTCCGATTCTCTCCTCGGGCCTCGACCTTGGGGTATCCTGTAATGGGATTCCTTGGGTGTCCTCGGGGCTGCCTGGAGGTCTCCTGAGGTCTTGGGGGTAGGTCTCAAGCGGTGATGGGGCCTGGCGCATGCCTCTCCAGCTGGTGGTTGCTAGCGACGCTAGCCACAGACCCCTTGGCGTGGGAAGGTAAGAGAAAGGGTTATGAGCAGTTATCGGGACGATTGTAACATAACGCTCGGAAGCCGAGGAACGCCGCATCCCTACGTAGATCTCTTTGTGGTTCCCGCCCGCGCCACCCTATAGTAGTGCAAGGCCTACTTCGTGGATGCGAGGCGATTTACCCCCACGCTGTATAGAGGCTAGCCGCCTGTCCGCTCCGATCTAGCCCTCCTCAGGCCTCGGCGTTCCCTCGGGATTCCCTGGGTCGTGCTTCCTGGACTGGAATCTGTCCGATTCTCCTCGGGCCTCGACCTTGGGGTATCCTGTAATGAGATTCCTTGGGTGTCCTCGGGGCTGCCTGGAGGTCTCCTGAGGTCTTGGGGGTAGGTCTCGAGCGGTGAGGGGCCTGGCGCATGCCTCTCCAGCTGGTGGTTGCTAGCGACGCTAGCCACAGACCCCTTGGCGTGGGAAGGTAAGAGAAAGGGTTATACATATAACGGCGCACCGGGTCCGGGGGCCCGGGGCCGGGACCTCGACCACAAATGTGGGCCCCGGGGGGCCCGGAGGCTCGTCGGGGCTTGCCGGAGGCCTCCCCGGTCAGACAAGACGGCCCCAGAAGCGCCCAAGACGGCCCAAGAAACTTCCAAGAGGCCTCCAAGAGGGCTCCGAGATGCTGAAGATGGCCTCCAGACGTCCAAGGACGCCCCCAAGAGGCCCCAAGAAGCCTCCAACATGCGTCCCAAGAGGGCCCCTAGACGCAAAAATTGGCCCATTCCCTTCGTAAAACGTACATTTTCAACAAAGTTGTCTTTTGGGCTTTCCGACGTTACAGGACGGCCCAAGAGGCGCCCAAGACCGCCCCAAGACGGCCCAAGAAGCTTCCAAGAGGGCCCCAGGACAGCCCAAGAGGGCCCCAAGACGGCCCAAGAGGCGCCCAAGATGGCCCAAGAGGGCCCCAAGACGGGCCCAAGAGGGGGCCCAGAGGGGGACCACGAACCGCAAGCTCGAGCCTTCCGCCCCAAGAGGCCGCCAGGAGGCCCCCAGGAGGCCCCTCAAGAGGCCCCAGGAGACCCCCAAGAGGCCCAAAGGAGGCCCCGAGAAGCCCCAAATCGGCCCCCACAATGCTTCGAACCTGCTTCCAGGAGGCCCCCGACAGGTTCAGAGGCTCCCAAGAAGCTACGTCAAACTCCCAGCGAGCGGCCGGACGAGGCCCCCCAAAAAATCCCAAGAGGGTTCCAGTATTTGTATCCTTCAGCGCTCTCTGGCCTTCTTCCCCCTGCCCCCTTCCCTGCGACTTTCGTTGACTCAAGCTCGCCTCCTCTCCATTTCCTCTCTCTGCCTCTCTCTCTCTCTGTGTCTTCTTCTCTCTCTCTCTCTCTCCATCTCTCTCTCTCTCTCTCTCTCTCCTTCGCTCTCTGTCTGTCTGTCTCTCTCTCTCTCCTCTCTTTCTCTCTCTTTCTCTTTCTTCCTTTCAGATTCCGTGTCCTTGCGACCTTCTGCAGTCCCCGACGTCGCCACGGCTGGATCCGCTCGAGCGTGTCTTGTGATGTGCGGCGGTGCGAAGCCCGTCCCACTGATCAAGGCACAGGTACGAAATGATGGGTCCATCATTTCTTGCCTTCCCATGTGCGTTTTCCCAATCGATTCCTGGGCCCGAGGTCGCAAAAATTACGACGTCGGAGGTCTGGGGAGGCGGGAAGCACGACCTGGACCTCCGACGTCTTGGAAAAATCACGACGGCGGTTTCGGTCAATTTTCGGCCTCCGGGGCCCCTCGCAGGGTCCCGGGACCGTCAGAAAACGATTCAGGATGAAAAAGAACATCCCCAGGAAGTCGTCGAGAGGTCCAGGGGCCGCGCACAGAAAGCATCACGACATCGGACGTCCAGAGAGGAGGTAGGAACACGAGGAGGAGGAGGGAGCCCAGACCTCCTGGCGACGCAACACCAAAGACAACAAAAGCTTCCCCGCGACTTCCCCCAGAGACTCTAACTACAGAAACTCCTTTCGTATTCCGGCCAGAAGCATCCAGAAACGATGTACATTAGCCCTGGCGGGATACATACCTACCTACATACATACATGCATACAGACATACATACATACATACATACACACATGCATACATGTATGCATGCATGCATACATGCATACATACATACATACATGCATATATATATATACACATACGTATAAATATATACATGCATGCATGCAGGCATGCATGCATGCATACATGCATACATGCAGATATACATACATGCATACACGTGTATACACATACGTATGGATATGTGCATATAAAATATACATTAGACATGTGTCTATATAGACGTTTCAAGAGCGTCCCCAGACGGCTCAGGTTGCCAGGCGGATCTGAAGAGCCTAAAAAGGATCCCCACAAAGGGCCTGAGAGGCCGCATTCCTAAATGTTCGTGACGTTGCGTGGTAGATGTGTTCAGTAACGTGCTACAGTCTAAACACCAAGACGCTCCCAAACCCTGAGCGCGCGATCTCGCGCCATCACACAGCACGAGCGGCGCAAATGGCTTTCAAGGAGGCCCGGACACAGCCCAAGAAGGCTGCGAAATTGCCGCAAGGCCCCGCAAGACGGGTTCAGATGGCGCTATGAGCCGTTCGAGCCTTATAAGCATTATTTGGCCCGAAACGCCTCTCCCCAAAGCCTTCTGAGGCCCATGAGCTGTAAGGGCCCATGAGCCCAAGGAGCTCCTGAGCCCTACGACACCTATCACCCCGACGACCGTACGAGCCCTTCGAACTCTGCAAACCCTACGACCCTTGTCAGCGTTACGAGCCCTCATAGCCCCATCAGCCTCCTTTGCCATATGACCCCAACGAGCCCTCTGCAGCAAGTACTCTCACGAGTCCAATGCGCCGTGCACCCTTATGCTTCTCACCACCTCATACGCCTTGTAACACCTTCGAGCCCCATCATCCTTATCAGCTCATGAGCCCTACGACCCTTCCCAACCCTGTCACCGCTACCACCCATATGAGCCTTGTGAGCCCCATGCGGCCTCTGAGAAACCCCCGAGACACCTCTGCCATGAACTCTACGAGCCGTTCGATCTCTACGAGGCCATGAGCCACGTGAGTTCCTCAGCCATACGAAACCTACAAACCCTATGACCACCTCTTCCTCTCCCCCCTCTCCCATCTCTCTCCCCCATGTCTCTCTCTCGTTATCTCTCTGTTGTTCTCTCATCTCTCTCTCTCTCTCTCTAGCTCTCTCTATCTCTCGCTTTCTGTAATAATCTAACTATACATGTATCCTCTCCGCCTGCTGTGCTTCCATGCCGCTCCACGTGGTAGCAAACTCGCCAGCCGAACGCAAAACCAAAAACGACCCTCAGACGAGCCACATGAGCCCTATGAGGCCTACGAGCCCTATGAGGCGCCCTACGCCCTATGAGCTCCACGAACCCCTACGAGCCCTACCGGCACTACGAGCCCAAAACTCCCCACGAGCCTCATTTGTCCTATGGGCCATATGAGCCCCATGAGCCCTATTCGCCTTACGAGCCCGATGAGCCCCACGAAAGCCCCCCCACGCTCTCCTGTCTTCTCCCTCCTCCTCCTCATCCTCCTCCTCCTCCTCCTCCTTCCCCGCCAACCGTAGATTCCCAGCCCTATGAGCCCTCTGAGCCTTATAATCCCTACGTGCCCTATGAGCTCTATGAGACCTATGAGCCCGACGAGCCCTATGAGCCCGACGAGCCCTATGAGCCCTACGGGCCCTTTGTCGCTTATGGGCCTCATAAGGCCTACGAGCCCTATGACCCCCATCAGCCTCATGGGCCCCACGCCCCCCGCGACTCCTGAGAGCCTCAAGAGCCTTATGAGCCCTGGAGCCCCGTCGGCCACATGAGCCTCCTGACCCCGACGGCCCGCTCTGAACCTCATGAGCCTCCTGGGCCCAATTAGCACAGTGACCCCTGAGAGTCCCACGAACCTCACAAACCCTATGAGCCGACCCGCTCTCTGGGGGCCCAAGAGCCAGTGGCTTCTGCGAGGCCGAAGACCCTACGAGCCTCCACGCCCGCTGAGCGCATCAGCCCGAAGAACCCTCTGAACTCAAGTACGGCTGCGAAATTTCGGAACCTAATGATCCCCAGAACCGCGCATTCGCGCTCCGAATTGTTGGGCTCCAGTGGCGGCGGAAAAAGCCCTTCAGACCTTTGACCCAGAGAAGCCCATGGGTTCTATCAGCCATGTGTGCTCTATGGGCCACATTACCGAAACGCACCTCGGTGCTGGCGACTACCAGTCGCGGCGCGCCTCGCTGGCACCATGCGCCCAAGATTTCAAAGGCGAAGCGAAGCGAGCCGGCATAATCTTGTGTATTCACCGACAGACAGACAGACAGACAGACAGACAGACAGACAGACAGACAGACAGACAGACAGACAGACAGACAGACAGACAGACAGACAGACAGACATATTATATATATATATATATACCAGGCTGCATTGGCGCTTCGCGCCATGCACCTTGTTCCTTGAAGCTTTGGAATGGTTGGCTCGTGGTGCCATCCTTTTTTCCATTTTAGCCGCGGTCCCAACCTTTAGCCGGCGCCATGTTTTCCATGTTTGCCATCCTTTTTCCATTCCTGCTGGAATCCTGGGTTGACAACGGAATTTCCAGAAAAATGGTTGCGAACCCGGGATTGTGGCCTCTTCCTCCTCCTCCTCCTCCTCCTCCTCCTCCTCCTCCTCCTCCTCCTCCTCTTCCTTCCCCTCCTCCGCCTCCTCCTCCGCCTCCTCCTCCTCCGCCTCCTCCTCCTCCTCCTCATCCTCTTCCTCCTCGTTCTCCTTCTTTCTCTTCCTCCTCCTCCTCCTCCTCCTCCTCCTTCTCCTCCTCCGCTTAAGCCAATGGAAAACTAACGATTTGGAAGCTTTTTGGAGCTTCGCCGGAGCTTCCCAGGGAGCCTCCCGAAGCTCTTTGGAGCTCTCTTGGGGCCTCCTTGGGCCCTTTCGGGGCGGGAGGCTCGTATTTTCAGTTATCTGGTCCTCCCTGGGGCCCTTCTTTGGGCCGTCTCGGAGCGTTCGTGGGCCGTCTTGGACCGTCTCGGGGCGCGTCTTGGACTGTCTTGGGGCTTTTCAGGACGCTCTGGGAGCCCCTTGGGCCGTTGTGGAGCGGTTTTGGGGGCGTCTTGGGCGGTCGTGGAACGTGGGAAACCCGAAAAAGCGAGGACGCTGAAAACATTGAACAACTAATGAGAAAGTAACATTTTGAATGTTTGTGGAGCCTCACCGAAACGTCTTAGGGGGCCTCCCGAGGCCCTTTGGAGCTCTCTTGGGGCTTCCTTGGGCTCTTTCGGGGCGGGAGGCTCGTATTTTCAGATCGTGGTCCCCCCTAGGGCTCCTCTTTGGGCCGTCTTGGAACGTTCGTGGGCCATCTCGGACGCGTCTTGGGCCGTCTTGGGGCTTTCTCAGAGCGCTCTGGGAGCCTCTTGGGCCGTTGTGGAGCGGTTTTGGGAGCTTCTTGGGCGGTCTTGGAGCGTCGGACACCCGAAAAAGCGAGGACGCTGAAAACATTGAAAAACCAATGGAGAGCAACAATTTGGACTGTTTTTGGAGCCTCGCCGGGTCACTTAGGGGGCTTCCCGAGGCCCTGTGGAGCTCTCTTGGGGCCTCCTTGGGCCTTCTCGGGGCGGGAGGCTCGTAGTTTCAGTTATCTGGTCCTCCCTGGGGCCCTTCTTTGGGCCGTCTCGGAGCGTTCGTGGGCCGTCTTGGACCGTCTCGGGGCGCGTCTTGGACTGTCTTGTGGCTTTTCAGGACGCTCTGGGAGCCCCTTGGGCCGTTGTGGAGCGGTTTTGGGGGCGTC